CATTGTTTAAAGGGGAGTGGCCCATATGCCACAGTCTGCATACCCATTAAATGTGCCTTAGGTAATGTGCCATTTTTAAAAAAAAATGACCCTTACATGATGATCAGTGGAGAAGTGCTCTCTTACATTGGTGAACAGGATAGAACTGCCCTCTTAAATTGGTGGACAGTGTAGAAGTGCCCCCTTTACATGAGTAGTCTGTAGTATAGGGCTTTTCACATTGGTGGTCAGTGGTGGTGTGCCCTCTTAAACTGGTGGTTAATGGTGATGTGCCCCCTTAAACTGGTGTTCGGTAGTAAAGTGCCCCCTTACATCGGTGCCCAGTAGTGAAATGCCCCCATCACTGGTAGTCAGTGGAGGAGAACCCTATTACAATGGTTCTTAGTGAGTGAGTACCCCCTCACCTTGATAGTCAGTGGTGGGCTGCATGTTCGAATCGAACATAGCCTGTTCTAGCGTTCGCTGAACGCCGAACATTCCGGGATGCACCAACGGCAGAAGCCAACAGCTTGAGTTTCTTGCATCTGTGTTCAGACTTACAACAGTGAATGTCTTTCCTTTCACTCCAAAGAGCCTCTGTCCAGGGTCTCTCTCCCGCTTCCACATTTATAGTAATGAAATCCCTAATATTAGCTAAACTTTTCATGGTAGGATAAATGTACTTTTGGCTTGTATTGTATGTAGCATTCTGTGTAATATTCAATGACTGGAGGGAGGCCAGACCCCATAACTTCATCTTTTGTGGTTCCTTACAAAGCTCTGCAACAATTATGTTTAAGCTTGTGAGTTTAACCTCACTCTTTCATCACTGCCACAGCGGCACCTTGTAGCCATGTGTTCACTCCAATACACTCACATTCAGCAGACAGGGATAGAAGTAATGACTTGGTTAAAAACATATCCACAGACCATGAAAATGCAATAAGTGACCTTAACATAAAACTTGGGAAATGATTCACATTACTTTCACTTTTCAGCATGTCAGCTTATGCAATCTAGTGATGCAAGGTTTTAAAAATGTTTTCGGTTTTTGGATAGAGTGTAGATCCAAAAGGGTTTTATTGTTTATGTTTCCATTGGGGAGATTTCTGTCCACATCTGTTCCTCCTCCCTCAAGGCTGAATTTATACTTTTTGCCACCCCCCATCTCCCACGCCAACTGTCTTGCTTTTAGCTTGTCAATCAGCACCTGACAACACCTAGTCCTGCCATTTGCTTTCTGGGATGACAGCACTGCCTCTGTTGCTGAAACCTTCCCATTGTGAGCTGCAGTGTCTGGGAAGGGGAGCGTGTGAGACATGAATGAAGGAGGATTTGACTAAGTCAGGGACAGTAAAGGAAGATTTTTGTTTACTTTATGAGGCTTCTGCATCACATAGTAACTTGACTTGTTACTTGTTCAGATTGTCATAAGGAGCCTTTAGTTGTACTATAACCATAAAAGTTACAAAGTAACAAAAGATGCCTAAAAGAGAAAGCTTTTGATTTTGCTTATAGCAGTTTCTCAGACTGTTAGTTTTCTGCTGCAGGTACCATTCAAGTAAAACTCCAGTGGAAACTTTTTTAAGGTTTCAATGAAGTGGAGAAGGGTTAGAATCCCTTGGGGATACAGTGGGGATACAGACAGTAACACATCTACTTTTTGGACATTAGATAAGTGTTATAACCGCTGTGAGGTGTTTTCTGGCTCTCTGTATCCCTACTGGAGATTTCTGCACTTCCTGTGTGGAGCTGGGGATGGACAATGGGGAGGAAATCTCCGGAACCAGTTGATCATTATATAGATCATCAGACTTCTCTTGTAACTAAATAAAAATGTCTTCAGTGGGCATGCCCTTTAAGTTTAGCAATCATACATGAAACTATACATTTCCCCTAAAAGAATCCCCATAACGCTTTACATCTCATTCTTTGCCTACCGCACACTGATACGTTTTTGCGGCTTTTGTCAACACATGATGCAGTTTAAATCACTTTTTAATTTCTGCCAGATACTTTCTCCATAAGCCGAAGGATTTTGTCACAGTTGGCTTTGATACAAATTTGTGTTCCAAATGAAAAAAAAAAGAATGATTTTCTAGTAGAAATAAAAGTGACGCTTATTAGGTGGTTTAGAGGCTGATGCAAGTTCATCTCTTTTTCAACTCTCCAAGAGACATCCAAACTGCCAAGACTTGTTTACACTGGGGCCACTATACAACTAATGAAAACAGTAAAAGTTAATTTGTAGATACTACAAAGTTCACTTTACTATATCTGGGCGTTGCTTTAATGAATCTGGTATTCCTCTCAGTACACCTCCTGGCAAAGTGCCAGTACATCTACTGCCCACGGAGGTTCTAGCATTTGACAGCAAGTGACAAGGGCCAGACATTAACTTAGAGAGGGGGTGAGGCTTAATCTGACAATGAAGAGTCTGGTCCTTCTCTACAGTCTGAGCACTGGAGGAACCCAAAGGTGCTCGACAAGCATTACCCTGAAGATCAGCACAGGTAATATGTACCAAGAGCAATGTTATGGGTTTTCAGAGGAAAAAAAACTCACGTCACATACCTATATTCCTGACTGATATTCAACAGGAAAAGTATAATAAAAGGGGATTTGTTGGTATGATAGCAGCTGGAATCTAACATATGTGTAGCATAAAAGAATTTATATATTTTATTTTGATCATAAAATCCCATCACAGTAAAATATTTAAAAGCACAATTTGTTCAACGCAAAAGTATTATTGTAAAATGTACATCATGCTAGTTCTAATACAACAATGCGTTACTTGGAGCAAGGTCTTCTTCTTCAAGGATGCATATGCAAATCAGTTCATAAAATAATCCAATAAAGATCATATATACATATAATAAAATGTAGGCCATATATAATAACCAAAATTGCTTTGTATGTGTTATATATACATTATATTATATTTTATGCATTTTTGTTCTCCATAAGATTATCTCGTGACCTTAATTGTTAATGCATCCTTGAAGAAGTAGAGTTTGGTCCAAGAAAAGCATTGGAACAGAATTAGTATATGCAAACTGCTTGTGATGTACATTGCACAATAATACTGTATGTTGAGTTGTCACCAGAACCGAAATAGAGGAAAAATCTAAAATGGGGACACTTGTTCTGGTGACCACTGTCAGAGAAGGGATCTTCCTTATAGGGATTTATCCTCTTCCTGTTCTGTCTAGATCAGCGGTTCTCAACTGTGTAACCTCAGGACCCACATTTGTCCTTGGTCATTACGTTGTGATCCAAGTCTGCAATGTCTGCACTGCAATGGAATGCATTAGGGTACCGCACGTTCCGTTGCGGGCGTACGAACTGTGGGTGGGAAGTGCATTTAGGGTACTATTCAAATGAATGCAACGCACCGGGCAGTATATTTTGAATGGCTGCTTGGCACAAGAACTGACAGTGCTGCGCTAGCCTCTCACCTAGAAAAGTGGAAGGCATGTGGTGGACCCACTGAACATGGGGTCGCGACCCACTTTTGGGTCACGACCCACCAGTTGAGAACCAACGGTCTAGAGGACAGGAAGTGTAAGGAAATCTACTAACTGGACACAGAAGCCATACAAACATTCCTTGCTTCAGGGCTGAATTAACCAATAAGCATGAAAACATTTATTTTGCCCCTAGCTATCATGCCCTCAAAGGATAAGTGCACTTATCCTCTTTGCTCTTTTGCCCTAAGCAAAACGATCCCAACTTCCCCCTCTACAGATGTATATTTACTGATAGAGGAGTCCCATAGACTTCAAACTTTTATTTCAATCTCAGAATTTATTGAGTCTTAATGTCTTAAAGGAGAACTATGAGGTGAGTGCTTTTCACTCACCTCATAGTTCTAGCCGACCTGTGGCAATGAGACTGTCACAGGTCGGCTCAGTAGATCGGGAGGTGAGCGAACACATACCGGGTTCGCTCACCTCTCGATCCTGTCACGGCTCTCTGTCGTGGCAGGGGGAGGGGCTGGATTCCCCTCTCCCCGCTCCGATCTGCCAGCACTGACTGGCGGAACGGATGGGGGAGTGGGCGGGTAAAGCTGGCTCTGCCTCTAGATAGGCAGAGCCAGCTGTCACTCACGCAGCTGGGCGGATCCCGACATCCACGTCGGGATCCGCTCCGGCGTCTCAGTATACCGCGAGCTGTAGCTCGCGGTATACTGAGCTTAGGGTAACGGGAGGACGCTAGTTTGTGTCCTCCCGTTACCCTAAGGAGAACTATGGGGAAAAACACTGACCACATAGTTCTCCTTTAAGCAATTAAAGGGTCGAGAGGGGCACTATTGTTGGGTTGGGGCATCAGCTGCACTTAATCCAGCCAAGCCCTATCCAAAATATCAAAAAAATAAGGTTTGCTTTAAATCGAATTTAGTATGACTGCCAGGCAACTGGTATTTTCAGAAGGGGGACAGCAAGACAACTTCCTGGGTTGTCATCTTTATCCTGGGTTTTCTGATTACTAAGTTGCTGACCTATGCAGGTTGGGTGTCTTGCCACTTCAGTGGGTGCGTACTTGTAATTAAGTTGGGGATTTATAAACTATTAGAGCAAGGATAAGGATGACAGCCCTGGAGACTGACCTTCAAAAATAGTTGGTAATAGCAATTGTATTGCTATCCTGTAGAAAAACGTTGCTAATGGTAGTTGGTAATGGCAACTTCCAGATAACAATATATGAATGTTTAAAGGTAAACGAACATTATTGAATCAATGTGACTTAGTCAGCTGATATAAAATATTCAGTTTCAAAGATTCTTACTATAACATTGTGTATTGCTCTCCTTATTTTACATTTATCATTCCCTTTTATTGTTACATATGCTTTTTCAATAAGAATTTCCGTTGAAAAATTAAATCAAAGAATCTGCAATTACGTAGTTCCAGGATAGTGCAATTCTTTGGCATCAGGTGATATTTGCTGTCAGCGATCTGCACAAGAGATGAGGTTATACATCGGAAGGCGCCTGGAAGAGCAGCTTTAAAACTCCCCGACCTGCTCACTTGGGGTTCACACTTGGCTGACTGGACATGTATCCACCAATGGGAGCGAGCGCCTTTCTCCTGGATGTCTGAGAACTGCCTGAGCTGTTCAGTTCTCTGGCTGTTATGTTGGGATTGGTCTTGGCTGCCTCCCTCAGCTCTGTTTTTGATAAGTGAACTTCAGAATTTAACATCTGCTGGGAACCAAGCAGGCAGGGACTGGGTGAGGTCATATTGCTTTCCACCGAATTTCCTCTTTCTGTTTGTCGCTGTTCGAGTGCCTGTGACCCTATGGCATTTACAAACGGCCTTGTTCCCTGAGGAACGCCTGGACCACTCTGTGTTTTAATCTCTCTCCACACAAAGCCTCCATGACGCTGAAAAAGGAAACAGAGTTGATATTAGCAAGGAGAAAAGCAGGCATTTAGACAGTGCAGCTGTGGGCTGGAAAACACCCAACCATGTGTGTGGCTCATTCCTGGCTGCCACTAGCCTTGAGGTCTGAGAGCGGAAAGTGATGATATAACAATCTGTCTGTTTGTCTAATTGTGCCAATACATTGGTAGAAAGTCTGAACTTGGAACTAAACTCCGATTGGCTGATTGCAGAAAGTCTGAAAACCTATGTCTGTTATATAATTAGCCGCTTTAATACAATCCACGTTTGACACCCTTAGCTGGACATGGATGGTACGTTTGTGCAGACTGTGCAGCTGTGCAAGGGCTCTCTGGGACCTATTTATACTGAATGTAGGTTGGGTTGGTGGAGGGACCCTCTCCTATTGTCAGGTGCAATTGGATACTACTCATTTCTAGGTGGATGAGAAGTGGATGGAATTTTCATGATGCCCTAACTTCTGTTGGTTCCCTAACTCCAAGTGGTATCAGGCAGCAGGCGCCTCCTTTGCTTTCTGCCTAACTGGCACTAGAAAATCTAATTTCCTCTTCACACTATTTGGAATGTAAGCAAAATAGGTAGTCTCTGTCTGACACCAATTTAGGACGGATGGGAAGGGG